AATTCTAGAAAGTCCTAAAAGGGGACAACAGCTAACTACCTCTTTGAGTCTGACCTTAGATCACTGGAAAGAAGTCAAGAGCCGAGCCCACAAGCAATCTATGGAAATCAAGAAAAATCAATAGATAACCTTTTGTTCCTCCGAGTGGCCCATGTTTAATGTCGGTTGGCCTCGGGATGGGACTTTTGATTCTGATGTTATTTTGCAGGTTAAAGCTAAGATCTTCTCCCCTGGACTAACGGGACATCCGGACCAAGTGGCCTATATAGTCACTTGGGAAAATCTCTCCCTTGACCCACCACCGTGGGTGACTCCTTTTCTCAGTCCTGCACGAAGAGTCCCCCTCCCTTCTGCCCCTAATCCGGACCCTTCGACCACCTCCTTGTGTCCTGTTGTGGTAAAACAAAAGCCTGTTCTGCCCCCTGATGAGAGTGCTCCTGCTGATCTGCTGAGTGAGAATCCCCCTCCCTACCACCCTCCCCCGCAGGCCGCTGCAGCTGTTCCAGACGAAGCCCAAGCAGAAGGACCGGAGGTCGCTCCCTCCCCCATCGCAGGGCGACTCAGAGAAAGAAGAGGACAGGGAGATTCCTCACACATCCTGCCCCTCCGACTCGTAGGAGGGAAAGGAAACCAGTTTCAGTATTGGCCCTTTTCTGCTTCAGACTTGTACAACTGGAAAACTCATAACCCGTCCTTTTCCCAAGACCCGCAGGCCCTAACGGCCCTGATAGAATCTATTCTCCTTACCCACCAACCCACGTGGGACGATTGCCAACAGCTCCTGCAAGTCCTAACTACAGAGGAAAAGCAGAGAGTCATTCTAGAAGCCCGAAAGCATGTCCCGGGGGCAGACGGGAGACCAACCCAATTGCCAAACGAGATCGAGGCTGCCTTTCCCCTCACCAGACCTGCTTGGGATTTCAACACGGCTGAAGGTAGGGAACACCTACGTCTTTATTGCCAGGTGCTTGTAGCGGGCCTCCAAGGGGCAGGGAGACGCCCCACCAATTTGGCCAAGGTAAGGTCAGTGACACAGGGAGCAGACGAGCCACCCACTGTGTTTCTAGAAAGACTTAAAGAGGCATATCGGAGGTACACTCCCTTTGACCCCGATAGCCCCGATCAAGAAGTGAGTGTCTCGATGTCTTTCATATGGCAGTCAGCTCCTGATATTAGGAGTAAGCTCCAGAGAATGGAAAATCTGCAGGGGCAAGGTCTTAGAGACCTCTTAAGAGAGGCAGAGAGGATTTTTAACAAAAGAGAAACTCCAGAGGAAAAAGAGGAGAGACAGAAAAGAGAGGCAGAGGATAGAGAGACAATGAGAGACCGAAGGCGGAATAAGGAATTGAGTAGAATCCTGGCCACAGTAGTGAGAAAGGAAGGAAGAGGCAGAGTAGAAAGGAAGGGAGACAATCGGCTTGTCCGACTGGAAAAGGACCAATGCGCTTACTGCAAGGAAAAAGGACACTGGGCAAAAGATTGCCCCAGGAGAAAGAAAAACCCAGAAGAAAGAAAAGCCGAGGTCCTTCAGCTTGATTAGGGAAGTCGGGGCCAGGAACCCCCACCTGAGCCCAGGGTAACTCTTCAAGTGGGGGGAAGGCCAGTCACCTTTATGGTAGATACTGGGGCGCAACATTCCGTCCTCACCCAGATGACTGGCCCACTCAGCAAAAGAACTATATGGGTGGAGGGGGCAACTGGAGCCAAACGCTATCACTGGACTACAAGCAGGAAAGTCCAGCTTGCTTCAGGAACAGTCACTCACGCTTTCCTGCACGTACCAGACTGCCCCTACCCCCTACTAGGACGGGACCTACTAACCAAACTTGGAGCACACATCCATTTTGAAAATAAGGGAGCCAAGATTACTGATTCTAAAGGAGCACCTATACAAGTGCTCACCCTTAAATTAGAAGATGAATATAGACTACATCATGATCCCCATCCTGCCCAAACAGACATAGACCAATGGCTGGCCAAATACCCTGACGCTTGGGCAGAGACAGGAGGAATGGGATTAGCTATACATCGGCCACCCCTAATTATCGAATTAAAGGCCACCGCGGCACCGGTGGCTGTTAAACAATATCCTATGACGGCCGAAGCCCGCCAAGGAATCAGGCCACATATTAAGAGACTGCTGGAGCAAGGAATATTAATCCCCTGTCGGTCAGCCTGGAACACCCCTCTGCTGCCTGTTAAGAAACCAGGAAGCGGGGATTACAGACCAGTACAAGATTTAAGGGAAATTAACAAGCGGGTAGAAGATATCCACCCCACGGTCCCGAATCCTTATAACCTGCTGAGCACCTTGTCTCCTAGCCACATTTGGTACACCGTACTGGACTTAAAAGATGCCTTCTTCTGTCTGAAGCTGCACCATCAGAGTCAGCCCTTGTTTGCCTTTGAATGGAAGGACTCCGACTTGGGAATTTCTGGACAGCTTACTTGGACACGACTGCCTCAGGGATTTAAGAACAGCCCCACCCTCTTTGATGAGGCCCTACACCAAGATCTGGCTGCTTTCAGGACCCTCCACCCTCACCTGATCTTGTTACAATATGTAGATGACATCTTGCTGGCGGCAGAGACACAGGAAAAATGCCTGGCAGGTACGGAGGCTCTTTTACAGGAACTGGGACAGATGGGATACAGAGCCTCAGCGAAGAAAGCCCAACTCTGCCAGAAAGAGGTAACCTACTTGGGATACCGGCTGAGCGGAGGACAGAGATGGTTGACATCAGCTCGCCAGGAAACCATATTGGGTATCCCAGCACCTCGTGATCACAGACAGGTGAGAGAATTTCTGGGGACTGCCGGGTTTTGTCGCTTATGGATTCCAGGGTTCGCAGAAATGGCGGCCCCCCTATATCTCCTGACCAAGACAGATGAACCCTTCATCTGGGAGGATCACCATCAACAAGCCTTCGACCACATAAAGAGGGCTCTGGTGGAGGCCCCGGCTCTTGGCCTGCCTGATCTAACAAAGCCATTTGAACTGTACATGGACGAAAAGTTGGGGTACGCGAAAGGGGTCCTGACCCAAAAATTAGGGCCATGGAGACGCCCTGTAGCCTACTTGTCAAAGAAACTAGACCCAGTGGCAGCCGGCTGGCCCCCTTGTCTGAGAATGGTGGCAGCCCTGGCAGTCCTGGTCAAAGATGCCTTTAAATTAACTTTGGGTCAGCCTCTTTGTGTTCGAGCCCCCCACGCCCTAGAGTCTCTCATCAGACAGCCCCCGGATCGGTGGCTCTCAAACGCCCGGATGACTCATTACCAGGCTCTGCTTTTGGACTCTGACCGCATCCAGTTCGGACCCCCCGTCGCTCTCAATCCTGCAACCCTGCTACCTAGCACAGAAGAATCCGACTCGCAGGGCAACCATGACTGCCATCAGGTCCTGGCGGAGGTTTTCGGCACCAGACCAGACCTGAGCGACAAACCACTGGAGAAGGCAGATCACACTTGGTATACAGACGGGAGCAGCTTCCTTGAAGGGGGACAACGCCGGGCTGGAGCCGCAGTCACCTCAGACAGCAAGGTAATATGGGCCGAGCCCTTACCAGAAGGAACGTCCGCACAGAAGGCCGAACTGATAGCCTTGACACAGGCCCGGCGGCTGGCAGAAGGTAAGAAGCTGAATGTGTACACTGACAGCCGGTACGCCTTCGCCACTGCACACATCCACGGAGAAATTTACAAAAGAAGGGGGCTTCTCACATCAGGAGGGAAGGAAATAAAGAACAAAGCAGAAATCTTGGCACTATTAGAGGCTTTGTTTTTACCAAAAGAACTCAGCATAATGCACTGTCCAGGTCACCAGAAAGGAAATCACCCTGAGGCGAGGGGAAACCGCCTAGCCGACCAGACGGCCAAGGACATTGCCTCCAAGAGTCAGGTTCTGACTATGCAAATGGACCCTGAACGCCAGAG